TATCTGAAGATGAATCCAGCTCCTCCTTCAGGCTGGATTAGATGGGAATGAAGAGATGATAAGCATGTTTCTTTGCCTGGGTTAGCCTTCGTGGTTTGCCCTTTGATTTTTCTGGCTACAGGCAGAGCTGTGGAGTGGTAAATGGTTGTGCTGAAACCTCTCTCATAATTCAGGATCAGCAAAGACACTCCAGGTAACTGGAAGGAGACATGACTGATGATTTCAAAGCCAGTACCTCCTGACCAACAGAGAATTGGAGGGCAGTGAACAGGCAGAGATGCTCAAATAATTACTGATAAGAGTGGCTTAAAATCTAAATGCTAAAATGTTGATTTGGTTAATAGTGCCTGAAGAATCCATGAGATGGGATTCAGTGATTCCTGTGAAGTGGCTCAAAGATAAAAGAAATCACAGAGGTCTTTGGTAACAGTATGAAAGAAAGGGTGCCACAACTCCTTGATATTAGTCCCAAATAACTTCACTAACTTACCACACTGGCATAGAGGAGAGATATCAGTGGCTTTTGACACTGATGCTCAACACACTACGAGGCATGTCACATTGATCTAAGTAGATAGTGCAAGGTTCCTGGATCAATGTATGAAAATCATGCAAGCCTGGGACAGCTGAAATTCTCTTTTTTCTTATTCTAAAGACAAACTTATTTATGGATTTACCACATGTCTATTTTAGAGGGAATTGTGCTTATGTGAAATCTATACATAGATCAAGAGGCTGTTGTCTGACAGAGCAAAGGAACACTGCATGGTTTAAAATTAAGAAAGGTGTGCATCAGGTTTGTATGCTTTCTCCATGCTCATTCAATATGTATGCTGAACAAATCATTGAAGAAGCTGGGATTCTATGAAGAAAAATGTATCAAGATCAGAGGAAGACTCATCAATAATTTAAGTTATGCAGATGATAACATCTTGGTGAAAGTGAGAAAGCTGTTAGGGGCTACAGCCTTCAATATGGATTACATCTCAACATCAAGAAAACAAAAAATCTTACCACTGGACCAATAAGCAACATCATGATAGATGGAGAAAAGACTGATATTGTGAATTGGATGTGCAGTTAACACCCTTGGTATTAGCAATCAGGAGATCAGAAGACTTACTGCACTGAAAAGTCTGCAGTCAAATTAATGAGGAGCAATGATACCAGTCTGAAGATTATAGTGTGCCTGATTCAGGCCATGGTATTTTCATTTACTTGCTATGCATCTGAGAGCTGGACAGTGAATAAGGATGATGAAGAATTGATATCTTTGAACAGTGGTGTTAGAGATCTGAGTATGGACAGCTGAAAGAACAAATACAGGTCTTGGAAAAAGTACAGCCGAAGTGCTCCTTGGAGGCAAAGATGGCAAAGCTTTGTCTTACATACTTTGGGTATACTGTGAGGAAAAGTTATTCTTTGGAAAGGGACATCATGCTTGGGAAGGTGGAAAGTCAGTGAAAAAGAGAAGACCTTCAACCAGATGTATTGTCACAGTGACTGCAGCAATGGGCACAAGTATGTCAGAAATGGTGAGGATGGCACAGGATTGGACAGGGTTCAGATCTGTTGTTCATAGGGTTACTATGAGTTGTATTCAACTAGACAGTACCTAACAACAACATCATGTTATGGGGGGGGGTGGGAGATACAAATGATAGTTTAATTAACCAGGGTTATTTTGGGGAGGCTGTAAATGACACCAGAGATTTTTCATCTTTCTTCTTTGGAGCATCTGGCAGATTAGAGCTGCCATAGAGGTGCTGCTTTGGGGTATCAGCACAACAGCCTATGGACTATGCCACTAGATCTCCCTGAATTTGAGTATGTTGGAGGGGAAATAAAGAAGTAATAAAGAGAATATGTTTCATTATCAAGGATTGCTGAGTATTTTGATTTTTAGTGTCATCCATCCATAAATTGTAGGGAAGACATACATGGAAACATTAGAAATCTCATCAGATAACTAAAACCTGTCTTCCATGCACACGGCCAGGAATGGTGCCAATAGCTCTAGGAAGAAAAGCTAAATAGTTAATGTGGTTTATTTTTAACCATTCCTTTGTTTTAGAATTCTATCTTATTCTTGAACTGATGCTATGTCACCACGACCTTTTCCTGCCAAGAAGGCAGAGTTGAGGCATCCTTCAGTAATAGCCCAGGGCTCTGGGCACGCAAGATGCTGTGCTGGCTCTGTGCCTTTCCTTACAATGTTTATGCAACCAAGACTTACTCTATGCTCTGTCATTTTGTTACTGGGCTGGCTTTGGTTTGAAAATTAGGTAAACATCATACATTCCATCACCCAATTTTAGACTCAATCTTAATTTATAATGATGTTAATGTTTATTGTACAAAGCGAGATGCATTTGTATATTTTAGCATTTTATTTCAGTTAAGAGAATGCAAAAGCTGACATTGGAATCAGTTTGATTTTCTTTTTTCTTTTTTTTATGATTGAAGATATTAAGCACTAAAAGGACGCTGAAATTTCAATCTGATTAGGATCAAAATTCCTCAGGATCAAAACACTTCTTTTCCTCCCCCTACAGTTTTACTAATTGTGTGCTACTTGACATTGTGGAGTTACTCCACAGCATGATAACTAAATATGTGAAGTGTATTTTTACTGTGCAGAATTATCAGCTCATTGTGTTTGTTTTTCATGTGCTTAAGGTTATTAAAAGAACTAAGAATTAGAAGTCATGGGTATGACTTAAAGGAGTGAACTCATTGTTGAGGGGCTAAATCATAAAAAGCTAGGATGTCAATATGAAGTATTGAAAATAACAACATAGATTTGAAAGCATACCTCTCTGTTTATTAGTTGGCAAGATACCAGAAAAATTAGGAGACAGCACAATAGTGAATGGCAGAGTAGTTTATTTTTGGCACTCAAATCATTCTAGCTTCTGAAAATGAGATAAAAGATCAGAAAGAATGCCATCAAACATATTTTGTTGGAGACCTTTGCTTTATGCGAAGAAATGAAATGCCCTAGCTTACTGTTCCTGAGGAATTGTTTCTTCAAGCTGTAGATCAAATCCCAGAAAGATGGCATGGTATTTTCCAAATAATAGCTGAGAATGACAAGTTTGGTTTTTCTGGGCTTTTTTTGCCTTTTTGATCAGTATCAGATTCCTGAATTCAGATCTCAAAGTTCCAGAAATGAAAAAGCACCTCACCTCTTCCTCCCCCTTATTTGCACATGTCCTATGACAGTGCTTTTCAAACAATCCACTATTTTAAAGTCTGGATAGCTGGCCTATCCTGATTCAAAAATATGTCCCTGGCTTTTTCCAAAGGTCCTGACTTCTCAATTTTCTCTGAATTCCCAGCTACAAAGAACCTGATGTTACTCTTCAGGAAACAGCATCAATTTTTATTTCAATTAATTGAAGAGCCATCTGTTTCCATGATACATGACACCCATTTATTCTTAGCAACAAGTGTGCTCCCTAAATCTCTGGTGTGCAATCCCAGACATGTGCTCAGTGCTGGGAATGGACTCTGCTGGTTGGCAGCCGTACAGGCTGACTCTTGCCAGAGCTGTGGTACATACATGATTTGACCTTGAACTTGGTCCCATGTCAATGCTAATGCAGGGTTAAAGGCACTCTGCAAGATGTTGAGTTTTGGCTGACTTACTGTCTGTCCATTGTGTTTTTAAAGATCTGAATCTGAAATGAGCAAACAACTTCAAAGGGCAAGCTAGATATGAAAACGATCTCTCTGACCATGACAAGAAAACGGGACCAGATAAATACAAAGGACACCTGAGTAGGGTTTATTACAAAAAAACTTAATTTTCAAGTACCATCTCTATGTGGTGCTTCTCACGTATTTACAACCAGAGACTGGAACTGGGTATAGAATTTTCAAAGAATATAGCTGGCTGGGGCCCTATCTTTCAAGGAAACGACTGATTTTTCATAAAAAGAACTTCCAGTTGGGAGAGGATACCTGTTTCCTATGTGGAACACCAAATGAGTGCCTCTTGCACTCTTGGGATTATTAGACCAAGGCACAGCACAAACAGACCCAACTGAGAATAGGAGAGAAAGCTTCCCTAAGATGTTGATGTGTGAGCTGTTGCTCAGACTTTGCCAGAACCCCGCTGGTCTACCTGTTTAAATAACACTAAAGATTAGGAGATGGAAACCAGATTCAAAGATCCAAAACAATGTTCTTCATCCAAGGCAGAACAACCAGGGTGTTCTTTAGAAGAAAGGATGGTGAAACTTCATTTCATATACTTTGGGCATGTTGTTGGAAAAAGACATCGAAGAAAGAGAGGAAGTCAGTGAGATGGATTGACACAGAGACTATATCATCAGTGAGGATGAAGCAGGTAGGGTAAGGGCCATATCTGTTGTTCATAGAGTTGATAGTAATTTCGCAACTGGATAGCATCTAACCAACCAACCACATCCAGTAATCAGAGCCTGGAGGCATCTCCTATGCTAAAGAACCCTCTTCCCAAAGCTGTTGTGTCTACACAAATGCGTGATGTCTTCTACAAGATGTGCTTTTGACTAGTTCCAGCTCTGTGGTTACTCAAGTAAGAATTTTTAAGAGGCTCTGGCTTATTTCCATTTTTCATCTCCCAATATATACAATTTGGAGCCAAGAAAAAAAAAAACAAACCCAAAAACAAAAAACTCAAACACAAGATTGAAGTTGCACTCTAGGAATAAAAGGGTCAAAAAAGCTCTTAAGACAAAGGTTCCCTACCACTTCACTGGAGAGAAAGCATGAGAGACTGAGAAATTAAGAATGAACACCTAAACAGCCAGCAATTTCTCTGAGCCTGAGGTTCAGCTTTCAATCTAACAGAAGTTGAAGTGATTTATGTTTTAGTGGGGGTTTTTTCCACCCCATGCAGACGGTCATCTCAAATGTGCACGGGGAAGGACATGGAGACATCAGCACTAAAACCCAAACAAGCATCAGAGAGTCACCAGCCTGGTTTATGCCCACAACCAGTAAATACTTACGGTCCAAGTGACTGTGCCTGATGCCTTCGACGTCTTCGGCATGGATAAAGTGGTAGCATCTCTTCCCTACAATGTCTACAGGGGTTAGATCCATATAATCACTAATCCTGCAAAGAGAGAACACAGACTAGAATTCAGAAAGAGCAAAAAATATGGAAATGATTAAATGATTTAGAAATAAATCCACAGACACATTTTTAGTATAGCAGAGCAACTGCAAGGATGTGTGGCATTCTGAGGGAAACATTAGAAATGAAATTGTTTCTTTAATGTATAATAGACTTCTTAAAAAGTAAGAAGAGTGCTAGATCAAACAATTGTGTTTAAATACTTGGATAGGGTTTGCTTTTTTTTTTTTTCTGGCATCAGAATGCACATTTAGACAACCTAATTCCATGAAATTATTGAGCATCTCTAACAATGCAAGATCCTCATTTGAGGCCAAGATAATTCAAGGTTACATAATAAAATAAAAACATGTTATGTTTATACCAAATGATTAGAGACACCTTTCATTTAAACAGATTGGTCTTCTATTGGGTATTTCCATGAAAAAGAGCTTCAACTGCTTCTTGGCACAAAGTCCAAATTGGCATTTCAAGGGATATAATTTAAATGCTGAGACATACAGATGCCTGGGGGTATTATCTTTTTTAGTCTTAGTCATTTGGGAGCTCAGCTTTCACTCCTGGCCCTTTTAACTGGTACTTTGTGGTAGATTCCATGCAGAAACTTTTAAACCATTTCTGCAGCTCTTCCAGGCTTGTGCTCCGCAGTATGTGTGTGTAAGCCCCTGTCATTGATTGTCCAGATGTCAGTGTCCTCAGGCAGGAGCACAGGAAAATAGAACCGAAATGGGAAAACACTGGGAGCTTCTGTCTGGTTTACACAAACACCTCACATGGCTTATCATCCTCCTTCCTGCTCAGGTACTGTTTCGTTTTTGTCAACCTGAGATAGGCTATCTTTTAAAATGTATTCCCTTTAAAGTACTATTTTTTAAAAAATAATTTTTGATCCACACAAATACAAAGTGATTCTTTAGAAATGACACTTTGCAAGAAATACACGAGATCCCTCCTGTGGAGTTAGGTCTAGCCAGCAAAAGCAGGGAAATAAGAAACAAAAACAAAATCACATGAAACACAATTACGATACATTCTTTGGCCAGTAAATTTCTCAGCGTTGAGCAATTTAATTAGTTGCTGGCAGAAAACTTTTGGCAAAACTAGCATTCTTGGTAAGACTAATTGGGGGAAGGGGTGGCAGGAAAGGGGTGTTTTCTGGATTCCGTGGTTCTCTGGTACAAAACAGATTAGTTGGTGTTTTCCTAAAACCATTAGCGGTTTTCCAGGAACAGTTTACACCCCCTTCCTGGGATGTCATTAAAAGCCCCTCATTGGCGGTTCTGAAATTTGCTGCTCAGAAAGCGTCAGATGTCTGCTTTGCCCGAGGCCGTCCTGGGGATCGCCAGAGGAGAAGAATGGTCTGCCGAGGCAAGGAGGGAGCTGTCGTTTCCAGCTAACAATTCCCTAATTAAATAATAAACCCCGAGAAAAAGCCACTCAGGTCTTTAGGGAAGACATTTCTTTAGTTTGCTCTCTATTTGAATTAAATCCTTCAAAACGATTTCCCGAAGCCCTTCTATGCACTAGAGCCTGTTACGTGGTGAGCAAGGCTGCTCAGTGTGCAAGGCACACTTGCTAGATGTGCAGAAAGCACTAGAACTCGCTGACACCCCCTCTGACACCCCGCCTCAGCATCGAATCCTGGCAGCCTCCTTTCCTCTGAGCCTCAGTTTCCTCGTCTGTGAGGCAATCCCAGGGACTGATGAGAGGATTCATGAATGAAATGAAATGAATCAAGCTTACTGTCTGGCACACAGGATGCTTTTCTGTTGAATCAAATACGCAATTACCTTTAATACAGGTCTTTTTTCATAATTACTATCATCTTCGATTGGGAAATAATGTAGCATTGTATAGGCTAATAAGGGGTTGTAGAAAGCTTTTTTTTTTTAAAATTTTTTTTTTTAATGGGAAGAAAAAGATGCTTAAGGGCAGGTCACAGAAAATGATCTCCATTACAAGAGTGGTGCCCCTAAGTCACTTGGGTCTATGGAGCTCGTCAAAGAATTAATCTGTAATCATTGGGACAAAAATTAAGTGCTGGTTTTGGGATAGGACTATTACTGGGATTTAGGTTAATAATATGAGCCTCTGTTTTATGGGGGAAGCAGGTAAAGTAAACCTGAAGTAAGGAAGTGGGCATATTCTGAGGTTTGAAAAATCTTACTTTTTCAAATATATAGGCATATTTTGTTTTATCAAGCTTCATAGACCCCACCCCCACTCCCTCCTTCTGGGCACCGTTGAATCAGAACTGGCACAGGAGGAGATTGGCCCTCCTTATCCAGCAGAGCATCTAATGGATTCAAACCCTGCTCCTTCGGGATTGCAGTGCAGCTTCTTGACACTAGGCCACAATAGCTCCCTTCACAGACTTTTTATTTTTTTAAAAAAGGAGGTTTGTGGCAACTAGTCTGTTCATGCCATTTTCCCAACAGTAGGGGCACACTTTCTGCCACAGTTTGGTAAGCTCACAAAGCTGTAAATGTTCTCATAATGTGGTTGTACTCTTGACAGATGACAGAATCATATAAACATTTATATGTACTGGCGAGCAGAAAAATTCTGTGATTTGCTTTATTGTGATATTCCCTTTAGTTTGAGAATTGAACCCATAATATCTCTAAGCTACAACTTCGAGTTGAAAATGACTCAAGAGCAGTAGGTTACTGGTAGCAGAAATCTACTTTTTCCATTTTCTGCCTTTGTTTTTCTCAGTCAAATCATTGGACCTCTTTGTGTCTCAATTTTATGTTCCATGAAATGGTCATAATTATGACTTTTCTGTAGTTGTGTTGAGAAGCTCAAATGACATTTTCAAAAGAGCAGTTTTTACATGCCATCACGTCAGAACCAACTCATTGCTGACTCTCCAGCAGGTTATCAGAGCCTGTAAATCAAATGTGAGTTTATCTACCTTTTTCCCTCATAGTAGTTTGGGTCAGTAGCACAGTCTTTACCCCAAAGCCACCAGATCTCCCTTCAAAGAAGCAGACCTATAGCAAATTCGTTGACTCTTCCTTCTGCTACCTTAGGTTAAAGCATAAGCTATTTGCAGACTGCCAATGATGACCTTTGATGGTCTCATATGCATAACCCTGAGGTTATTATTTTGGCTCCCTGCTATTCAGCCTCATTTTTGAAGAAAACATCTCAGAAAATGTGACTAAGTGAATGCACTTTTGAATCTCACAGATGTAGGCTAGATTCCTGGTCCCAAGCAAGCTTCTTAATCTTTTCCCCTAAACCAAGATCACCTGAAGGTAATGAAGACAGTAGCAGCACCTGTCTCAGAACTATGGGGAGCTTAAACGAGATGCTTCATATAAGGTGCTAAGCACACCATCTAGTACCTAGTAAATGTCCAATAAAAGCTAGAGATCTTTATTATTAATAGTCCCAAGGTGGTGCCAATGGGGAATAAGGTTCAAGCCTATCCACATGCACCTCAGAAGAATGGCCTGGAGAGCCACTTCCAAGAAACAGTCCATTGGAAACCTTAGGGAGCACTGTTCTTAAGTCAGAATTGACTTGAAAGCAACTGTTATCTTATTACAAGTCCAGTTTAACCAGGGTTTCCTGATAATCTGAGTCCATTCCAAAATACTTCAGATACATGCAAGTATTCAGTCATGATATGAAAAATTTTAACAAATGTAGAAAAATCTTGAAAAGCAAATTCAGAGCTACTTAACAAATAATAGTGGCAGGTTCAGATTATCTTCTACCTCCCTAAACGGTAGAAGCCCAGGTGAACTTATGAGTTCTTTCCTCGGAATGAAATCCTGACTAGAAATAGTATGCAGTTTCGCACTATCTTTCCCTCTTCCCAGTGGAGACAGCTCTGATGGCTTAGTGGCAAGGGGTGCACTGCCAACCCAAAGGCACATGGTTTGAAACCATCAGCTGCTCCGAGGGAGAAAGATAGGTAACCTCCTCCCGTGTGATTAAACTGCCTCTGAAAACCCACTGGAGTTGGTTCCGACTAGACTGTACATAACAGCATTCCCAGAGGAGTGGGTACCGGAGCTCTTCTTTTCTCGGCTAGCTCCTGGAGGGGTCAATTACCCAAGCCACTTGGCCTTTCTGCTCTTTAATTTCCCCTCTGAAGGTGTTCACAGGGCTCACTGATCATATATTGCCTCCATGCCTAATAATAACCTGCTCCACAAAAGCGTCCTCCCAACCCCCCAGAATGACTTGGTAGTCCTCCCTGGGCATTACGGGGTGGTGGAGGCACCAGTGCTTGCTTCTCACATGTGCACAGTTCCTCTCAACTCCCCCTTTCTCCTCCACCCTCTGACCCACTCTTCCAATCAGTCTGATGATGAGCTGCTGACTTCCAGGGGAAAGGTCTAAAGGGGCACTGCCCTCCTTCCTTGTCCCTGGCTTTGTGCTTAATGGAAAAAGTGAACTTTTTAACCAGAGGCTAAAGGTTCCTTTCATAAAAGCTCGGTCTTGAGGAAGAATTGCCAACTCGTTTATACAATGACTCATCTTTTTAAAAAAAATTTTTTTAAAGTTTAATTGTCAGGATCACAAAGTTTTATTTAATAGTCTTACAAACTTCCTCTTTGTCCTTTTCTCTGTAGGGGACTCATATACTCATTTGTTCTTTACATACTTAATGCCCTGGTGGACACTGGCCGGATTCGTCCATTAGTTGGGAAGTGGGTCTGGCTGAAGCATCAGGGGACACCTACTGTATCATTTTGCCAATATTGTCTCTGCCTGTTCTCTCCTTGGGTTCTCAGCCCCAAAAACAGTCTTTCATTATTGCATATGGATGTCTGGGCATCCCAATTCATTCAATTGTTGTCCCTAATGTAAATCAGGGCAGCAATGTAAATTTTAAGTAAAAAGCACATTGGTGTCAGTCCAACAGCCATTAAAAACAACATCAGGATTTATAATGAGGCTCATTGGGAGAGTAAAATCCTTCAGTCTGCTGAAAACACAAACCCTCACCCAACACGCAGTGTACATACAACAGAGCAAATGAAAATAAAAACAAAGTACCTATTTTCACAGTAAATGATATTGAGGTCCATATTTACTCGTGTGACGAACATATGGCAGTCGATTCTGACTTCGTTGATTGTAGGGGGAGGCAGGGCATGAGCCACAACCACAAGACCCATGATTTGGCTGGGGACAGTCCTCCCGTGGGAGAGGGACACTCTCAGGCGGAGTCGGCCTGTAATGTGAATCACCTGTAAAAGAACATTAAATATACAACACACTCGTCACATTTACATCCCAGATGGAATAACATTTCTTTTGAGAAACGCAAAGGTACGTCTGGCGCAACCAACATTAGCTGGTAGCTTCTGTAATCCTGATGGCTGTGAGGATGCTCTCAATGTCTTTCAGGGCAAAAGACGAAAGAGAGTGAATAGTATACTCTGGGTATTTCTCAAGGCAGCAATATTACCAGCTATTACCATTTTTAAGGACTTACATGCTTTTATTCTGTCCATTTTCTACATTTAGGGAACATCATAACCAGATAAAAGGATCAAGATGTGAAGCACCAAGTTACAAAAGTAAATGTTTGCATTATTGGCCTTTGTTAATGGGACATATGCATCGCTTTCAAGCTTGTACCAAGTGGGAGTATATGGCCATCTCTTTTCGCTGGTACTTCTCTTCACTCAGAGAATGATACCACAAGGACCAAAGATTGCAATGAATAAAAAAGTCTGGCAATGGCATGAACGGATTCTATTTGAGCATTGTTATTAAGTGTTGGGCAGCATCCAGTTGCCAATAATGCAGTGGTTGATAACAATGGCTCGTGGGTTTGGTGGGCAGAGGACTTGGGCTGTGATTTGTTCCTTAAATTCCTTCAGATGACAGTAGAACAGGGAAGACTTGCTCCATTTTGGCAGCGGCTCAGAGGGTCTTGCCCTGAATCATGAGGGAAGAGGTGAGGGGTGGTTTTTGGTTTCTTTTCTTACGGGTACCATGCAGTCCAGATCACTCAGAGCCAAGTAAAAATTGCTCATCATTCCCACATAGTTCAAACTGTTGTTATTGCTATTCTAAAAAGTTCCTTTGCTTATAAATTGCAGATTTCTCTCTGTGTGTGTGTGTGTGTGTGTGTGTGTGTGTATACGCGCGCGTGCATTGAGAGGCTGGTGGAAATGGTGTGCGCAAACGCTAGCTGTGTTTGTGGAATCCTGCTTTAAGGTGAGGTCCCCTCCAAAGCCTGACTGTGAGTAATCGCTGTGATGGGCTGCACCATGGAGCCCAGTTTAACAGCTGGGTCCCCACATGCATTTGGCTTATCCATCTGCATCGTTAGAGTGCCAACTCATCTTGGGAGAGTCCACTTTTCCCAGGTAACCACATGGGGTTATTACCTACCTGGGACCCGCTATCTAGCCCCTACTTTCCTTCCCAGGGGTTGGCCTGGAAATTTCTGTTACCCTTTTTATTTTTTTGTTTCCTTTAAGTTATTCTGCTTTGCAAAAGCAAGCCACACTCCTGTCAGTCAGGAGGCAGGATCAAAGCTTCTGGGGCTACACTTCAGAGTCCTGGCTGTTCTAAATAATACCCCTTCCCTGTCACACTTCCCATTTGTGCCCAGAGCCACTGATCTAGAAACACCAATGAGTAAGATTATTTAGGTTATTTCAGGAGCAGCTTTTCGACCACCCACATTTGAAGTTGACTAAATTCATACTTAATGCACCTTTGCTTTAAGCTTTGGTCAGACTAGCTACTTTATGAATATTTGAAAATGTTCCTAGAGGCAAGGATGCTAAAACACCATCACAGACACACATTTCTGCAAGACCTCATTAACTAATAAAGAAATAGCTAAAAGAAATGGGATTAACTTCACAGGAGGGGTGTTAACAGTGCCTGGTCTCCTCCCAGCTAGGCTTTACATAGATGCTTATTTATCATTATCTGTCTTGTTTTATCAGGAACACTCAGCTTCTTGGGGAAAAAAACACAGATCTACAAATGCTCAGGAAAACATACACCCAGAAATGGTATGCTAAATAAATCCCTACTTGATATTCTATTCATAAGCATTTTAAAGGCATCTGGGCAGGAAAACATTTTGGGAAGACAGACAGGAGAGTGAGTGGCTCCATTCTGCATGTTCATTTAATGCTGCCTCCTCTCCCCAGCTTTATCTGTGGATGTTGTGATGTTGAAAGGTTTTCAATATTTGGACTGGAGTCCTTGAGTGTAACAAACAGTTTACACACTTGGCTGTTAAATGGAAGTTTAGAGGTTTTGATTTCACTCAGAGATACCTCAGAAGAAAGGCCTGGCAATCTACTTAAAGAAGCCAGTCCTTGAAAACTCCACGGAACACAGTTCTACTCTGACTTATGCACATGGGGTCATCATGAGGTGCCCCTGACTCCATGACAACAGGATACTGGTAGCAGAAATTGAAATATGCCATTTTCCGTCTTTGTAATTCTGGGCTCAATCACTTGACTTCTCTGTGTCTCAATTTCCTTTTCTGTGAAATGGGCCTAATGATGACTTTTTTTGTAGTCATGCTGAGAGACTCAAAGGAAGGTGAACAAATCATAGGGTGTAAAAAGGTATATTGAAAAATATTCATGACAAGGTTTCAGTTTGCCTTTAAAAGCAGCAACCTATAAATAACAGATTGTTGTTGTTAGGTGCCACTGAGTTGGCTAACCGTTTATGTGTGATCCCACATGCAACAGAGGGAAATCCTGCTCAACCTCACAGCCTCTCATTAAGTGCTTAGGCCTATTACCAAAAAAGCTCAACTCATTGCTGTCAACCTGAATTCACTCAAGTTGACCCTGCAATGGTTTTTAAGAAGTTGTAAGATTGCACTGCAGGAGATTTTTATACTAAGTAACTACTAGTGAATACAAACTCCTTACCTACTAGGCCACCAGAGCTCCCCTGAAGCCTACTGTTATGTCAAATCAGACCAACTCATTGTGAACCCTCCAGTGGGTCTTCAGGGGCAGTAAATTGCACAGGAGGAGATTGCCCTCTTTCTCCTGGAGAGCAGCTGGCAAATTTGAACTGCATGTCTTGAGGTCAGCAATACAATTCCTTACCACTAAGCCACCAGAGCTCCCTCTAAAGCCTACTGTTGTGTGGCATCCTTCAGTGAGTTTTCAGAGACAGTTAATCACATGGGAGGAGACTGCCCATCCATCTCTCATGGAGCAACTGGTGAATTTGAACCACATGTCTTTGAGATTTTAGTGCAGCATCTTACCATTAGGCCATACGATCTCCTTAAAAGCCTATCAGGACTTATTATGACTTTTATCTTTACCAAAACCCTAGCAGAGCATTTCCCAATTGGAGGGAAATCTGAGAGGACCTATCTGAATTCCTGCTCCCTCCACTTTTTTAACATGATAAAACAAAAGCTCTGAAAACTCGATTTCCTGTCCAAAGTCACTGGCTTAGAAATGGCAAACAGAGCCTGGAACCTGGGTTTACAAGTGTTGTTTGTCATTTCAACCACTGTATACCAAGAAGACACTTCTATCCTTTGATGTACTTCTATGCGTTTTATGTCCATACTTATGTTGAAGGAAGAATAGTTAAATGTTTATGTTGTTGCTGTTGGTGTCAGGTCATAGTAACATGCACAACAGAACAAAATGCAGCTGGATCACTTCATTGTACTCATGTGGAACTTGGACAAAGACTAAGATATAGTCATTTGAACAAGAGTTTAAAATCAGGAAAAGTGTGAGTCAAGTGTGATATCAGATGTTTATATAAAATGCCAATTTAGAAGTAAAAGTATCAAACCAGTTACTGTTACGACAATACCACTTCATGCTGACCCATATGTTTCAGAGTAGAACTATGCATTATTGGGTTTTCACTGACTTTGGATCTTTTGGAAGTAGATTAGCAGTGCAATTTATAAACCTTAGAAAAGATTCCAAAGATAAGCAGAAATTCGGGTATATCAGAAAATCTATGTGAAATGACACAAAATAAGAAAAAAAAAACCTGGGAATATTACTAAAATCACTACAGGGTCTGCTTGTGGGACTGTGGGTGAGGGAGGATGTGACTGATGAGAAGAAGGAATATCTGCTTTACACTGATGTATTTTTTCCAATAAGATTTCATTATGCCCACAGTATGTAAGTGAACATTTAGACAGCTGTACTTTGACTTTATAGTTGCTTTTAAGGCTTGTGATACAAGAAAAGAATTGTCAGAGGATCCAGGTTCAAATTCTAGCTTTTACATTTGATGCCAATGCAAGGGTACATGGTATATGGTTCAAATTCACCAGCTGCCCCTCTTGGACAAAGATGGGGTATCAGCTCTTATGTAATTTTCTGTCTCTGAAACCCCCCTGGAGGATTAGCTATGAGTCAGTTTTGATTCAAAAGTACACAACTACAACAACAACAACAACAACATGATTTTCATAGTATTGCAATGATCTGCTCAGTTTTCAGGTTAATACAATGAGAGATTAAAAATTAAACATGGAGACACATATTCTTTGCTTTATTAATAATATTATAAAACCCATTTTATTGGTTCTATTTTTGTTATGTGCCATCAAGTTGAGTAAGACCCATAGTGACTCTACGAACAGATCTGAAATCTGTCCTATCTTGTGCCATCCTCATGCTTTCTGAAACACTCTGCAGCAGCCACTGCATCAGTCCACCTGGTTGAGGGTCCTCCTCTTCTTTGCTGACCATCAACCTTCCCAAACATAATGTCCCCATCCAAAGAATAGCCTCTGGTAGCAACATGTCCAGTATGCGTGAGGTGAAGCTTTCTTATCTTTGCATCCGAGGAGCACTTTGGGTGTACTTTCTCGAAGACATACTTGTTCTTTTGGCAGTCCATGGAGTATTTAGCATTTTCTCCTAACATTACATACAGCTCAAAGGCATAAATTCTTCTTTCATCTTTATTCATTGTTGAGCTTTCAGATGCATAGCAAGTGATTAGAAAGACCCTGGTCTGAATCAGACACACCTTAGTCCTCAAATTGACATCACGGATTCTCAAGAATTTGGAGAAGTCTCTGACTGCAGACTTTCCCAGTTCAATATGTATCCTGACTTCCTGACTGCTGGTTTCAAGGGTGTTGATTGTGGGTCCAAGTAAGACAAAGCTTTTGACAGTTTCAATCTTTTTTCCATCTATCATGATGTTGCCTATTGGTCTAGTAGTAAGAATTTCTGTTTTCTTGATGATGAGA